ATTGACCGTCACATTATAACGCCCCCACGGCTGAAAGGGCGAGCATGTTTGGTGTGACGGGGATTCGAACCCGCGACCCTCAGATTGCGAGTCGAGCGCCGTAACCACCTGGCCATGCCAGGCCTCATCTGTGCTCTTCCCACCACGGGTATCGAGGTTTCTAGGGCTGTAAGTTCGGAGACATACCGCTGAGCTACTGAGGGAATGATGGAATAAGGAACATTCTAGCAAAATGCATGAAAACTACCGCAAATGTTTTGCAGATCACTGCTAGTACTCAAGCATGGCCTTATCCCTGCATTTTTAATGACGAATATTACAGTTTTGGTGGCAATTATTTTAAGTAGCGCTTGAGATATTTATTTCATACTATCATTGTTATAAGTTAGCGATATATCAAGTATATTGTTTATATAAAGTAATCACGTAGCATTCTGGTTATCCTGGTTACAGCGCTGGTAAATTCCATATTTTTTACACTTATGTTTTTCTGTGTATGGTTTTGTTATTACAGTCTTTGTTCCAAGTACTTTACAAGCATATCTTCTTTGTCATCAAGTAGTTCAACCAAACAGCTCTCTAAGAAGACCAGGAAGAAGGACAAACGAGGTAAGAAGAAGAGCGTGGTGGAAGAAGCCACTTTGGCGATGGACGATGCTGAACACGATCTTTTGGAGAGAAAAGATGAAGAAATTTTAGAGTCCTTACAAGCGGAATTGCGAGAATGGACAGTCAGTCAACCCTATTTCGTTAATCCTAGAATTGGTTAGTACGCTGTAAAAACTGTATTAATTGAATTCTGAAATATGGCATATTAGTTTTAGTTACATTTCAAACCTAAAATAGGTTCATTACAGAAAAACAGTGTGAGTTCTATTTTGTTCATCATATACAGGGGTAGATAGATTATATAAAGCTTTAGCCTGTAGTCAAAGTCAGCTGTTTTTGTTTTTTGTCTGTACATGACATGCAATTTCGTAATCCAATTAAGTAATGATAAGTATATCTAAACCATATTAACTTTTTTTATTCTCATCTGAAAGTAACTAAACTAAGAGTGATTAATTAAAGTTACATAAGTCTGTTTGTTTGTTTTGTTGAACTTCGCGTCCCCAATTTACAAGTGATAGAGTAGAGGGAAGGCAGCTACTCAACACCACCGCCATCTCTTGGGCTGTCCTTCACCAATTAAATGTGTAATTGACCATCTCATTATAACGTCCTCACGGCTGAAAGGGTGACTATATTCGGTGATTGGATTCGAACCCGCAACGCGTAGGTTGCAAGTCGAGCACCCCTAACCACTAGGCAATGCCAGACCAATAATATATATATATATGAAAGAATAAACAGTGTGGGACATTTTTGTTGAAAAAAAAACTACCAAATATGGGTTTTCTTAATTTGAACTGAATTTGAATTTTTTGGGCATTTTTATTCGCTGAAAAGAAGGCATCTCCTGCACTCTTTTAGCGTTGGGGCTGCGAAAAGTGATTTTGAAGTGGTAAGGTGACTGAAATCCGTGAACGCGTCACGAGCTTAACAATTAAGCACAAGAAGCATTGAAGTCTCCAAATGACACACAGAGGTATTCAGGAACCGTTTAGAACCACCTTGGTAGATATTGTGCAGCAAGCCGAGTACAATATTATGCCTATATCTGCTTTCAAAGTGTTTCTGTCTGTTCATCCTACTGTTGACTATCGTGATGCTTCGACGTTCCTTACCGAATCGTAGGTGAAATCGTTCGTGTCTCAATTGTAAGCTAAACCAAAAGAGGTGATAGCAGAAGCATAAAAGGTTGGCAACTACTTAATTACTGATGCTGAGAATGCGGACTTATGATATATACTGAATTTACTCTCAGCGAGTAGACCTTAGTACTAGCTAGTATGGAGAATTGAGTATGCTGTATTTTACCTAAGTATTTATCAATTCAAACGAAAACTTGTCTCGAAGTTGTTTCGAAAAGATACGTCCAAAACCACCACTTAGCTCGCTTGGTCAGCTTCATCGGGTTTTAGATCCAGATGGACCTGGGAGGATCAGGTACAAACTTGACCTCTTCCTCCCTCAGCACTGGTGTGATGGATGTTAGAATGTTAAACGTGCATAAACGAGGGCGCCTGAGTGACGTGTTCAATACTTTAAATTTTAGGAGGTAAGGGTACGCTGGAAACTATTCATTTAAGGGCGACGTCACATGTACATTCTCAGCTTTACTTACTGCAGTAACGTTTACAATCAGTCTACACGCGGGAGTTATATATATAAGATGTTTTTCTCCTTTTTATAGTATATGTTTTTGTATGCGGACTTACAACGGTAGAAATCAGATAGCCCATTGTGTAACTTTGTGCTTAACTTTAAAACAAACAAATATAGTATATGTTTTTTATTATTCTTGTAGACAGCCACCTGCCCCCCAGTGGCACACCGGTGTGTCAGCGGACTTACAACGCTAGAAACCGGGTTTCGATACCCGCGGTGGGCAAAGCATAGATAGCCCTTGTGTAGCTTTGTGCATAATTAAAAACAAACAAACGAACAATAGACAGCCACCAAGTGATTAATACAAAATATGCCTTAACGTAGCTAGGCTGATTGGTTGTTAGGACTTTATGATACAAAGTGACACATTAATGTGCGCCAAATATATATTTTGTGTATTTACAAACAGTTGAATTTAGTAAAATATGTGAGTAGGAAACAAAAGACAGATCAAAAATGCCCTTCTTAGTTTTTGTGAAGCAATGCTAAAAAATTAATTCATTATTCTTCAAAATTTTCTGAATTCTTACAATTTCTCCCTGCAATAAAACATAAACACTGACAATTATTTACGTCCATCAATTATACCTTTATCGAAATTAATATTAAGTTATTTATATAAAGTTTTTCAAAAAGTGTATTATGTACTTAAACCTGACAAGTTTAAATCATGTACTTGTTCGACAGGAAAATTAATTTCGTTTTTTTATTAATCAGATAATATCAATTTTATCTACGTATTTTTGTGACTGAAAATAACGAATATGTCATTCACGTGGCGTCTGTAATATAATTACTTATAAGTCACTTGTCAAATCTCTTTCAATTTATTACGTGATGCCGTCGTGAAATGAATAGCATTTTGTACATTTTCAGATGTAGTTCCATACAGTTTTATTTTTTTATGCCCAATAAATATAATACTTCATTTAAAATATATATATACATATATCTTTGATATATAGTCGTAAAATTCAAATCGATTAGTTTTAATCTTTTTCTTTTTCTTTAAAGATAATAAGTTTTCTCATACAGTGTAATGAAATGTGTGAAATATTGGATAACCCACATTAAAATATGATACTTTAAATGCTGGTATGATCTTATTAATTTATAATTTGGACAGATCAGGCGTTCCTGCGACGCTTTCTGCATCACCGAAACTACTCTATTCATCAAGCTAAGGAAGTACTAGAGCGGTACCTCAAGGTTCGGACAAATTTTCCTCATTGTTACCAAGGGCTAGACATTGAAGATCCAAGCCTATTTGACCTCGTGTCTAATGGGTACATAGAAACTACGTTAATTACTTCTAATACTGTTTGCAGGTAGAAGGTATTGATAGAATAAGGTTGGTCAAAGTGTCATACAACACTGATCTCAAGTGGGTACCTACAATAAAAAATCCGTTGACAAATGGTCATCTGTTTAAAATTATCAATAATACTTGTCATAGTGTAGGTATGCAAAATCTTTCAGCGATACAATTTCTTTCTTGACTAAACCAGTTTATTCTTTCTCGATACAACTTTAAGTAATACACAGAATTTCCACAGCCACATTAAACTTAACAACCTTTATAACACACGCTATAAATCAAAGCGATTCACACACTTTACTTACCGTGCCTACTGTTTGCTTGACTCAATTATCTATCTCTTCAATCCCGCTGATTTTTTCTCGCTAGGCTTATATACTAAAAAAAGAGGGCGTCTAGCAAACACTCGGACATTCGCGGGGTCCTAGCGTCACGTGACTTCCGCTATAGTAACGCTGCCCCTTCCTTAATATTGTTCCTCCTGAACATTAGCCACTTATATTCAACCAATAGATAATTAACAATAACTTAATTAAATGTGCAAAATTTACAAATACAGAATTAAAATACAACAAAGTCTCTTAATTTTACAGGACGTATCTTCTTCGGTACTGGTCTCTGTCTCATTGGCTTCTGCTTCACGTGGGGTTCATCTGCTCCATCAGTAAATGTCCCATTATCAGTAACAGTCACATCAGTGGTAGTAACTTCATTAATGGCTTCACTGTTTTCCTTCTCAAAACCGGGTAGAGTTTCTTCTTTTTCAGGTGACATGTCTTCAACAG